CGATGCGTCTGTTTACGAAATTGATAATTTTGAGCAGTCTCGAGCTTGATGCAGAAATGGGATTTCCTAAGCGGTTCAATTCATTTGCGAACGCAACCGGAAACGTGACGTCGCCATTTGTTTCCGCAAATTTACCCTCTGGTCAGTTTTGATACCATGTACATGTACTAGAAAGGAATTGAACCATAATAATAGTAAGTCAGTAACTTGTTTCTTTTTCTTCAGGTGATAACTTCACCCGATGATTAACACCAGCCCGAGTACGACACCCGTAATGGCCCGTAATTAGCGGTACACGTTAACTAGCCCACATGAGCTCATTTCAGCTACATGAACTAGCTACAACCCCTTTCACTTGAGCTTGCAGTTTGTATTGTAATAGAAGTCAAAATAAATGGGCCAGGCAACAATGTTCCAGTTCGCGATAATATAAATAAACCAATAACAATTTTAACATTGCTGAATATGCATTTGAGCATTTGTAAAAATATGTTCAAGCAGCCATTTTATAGCTCAGTAGAGATGATAAAACTCTATTTTGAAATGCAGAGGGAGAATTTTCACCTGCTTACTCAGAGAGTATCTAATCTGTATAATACCCTTTGACCTTTATCTTAGCCACGTTCGGAGTAGATCTTTTATAATTCGAACTATGAATACAATGGCTCTGTGGAACGCTGTGAATTACATCCTGTCACAATGTTTTTCCCCTCAAATAATTCACCAAATAAAACGTCCTCGCAAGGGAGTTTGACTTTTATTATGCTGTGTCAAATCTCTCCGCTTCATGTTTGGTACAATTTAACAGCAGGGTTGCGTGAATCCACATTACCATTGGTTGACTGTCGGCATACATTTGATGGTTCACACGACGTTTCGAAACTTTACTTTTTTCCACCACAGCAATGCTCAACAATATAAATCAGTCTTTTGTCTTATGTGTTGCTTGAACTCTCAGTCGACTGTTTGTTTGCCATTGAGAACTCTCAATCGTCATTTTCTTTGCCATTGCGAACTCGCAGCGACGCTCGCAATGGTTGTTTTTTCATACATTTACATACCTCTTTGACTGTTGCACAGATCAACGAGTACAAACTGACATGTTACAAAGCTTTAATTAGGTATTGTTAGGTGATCGGAAAGTATCGAAGTAGTCACCGGCGGTAATTAGTGCAAGTCGCGCCAAGGTCAAATCTCACACTTGTAATTTCCATTAGAAGAGCGCATTGCACTGTGGGAAAATCAATGTTTATCAACACAAAATGTCGCGCATGCGGATCGCGATGACCATCGCCCTTTAATATTTAAATGTCATGTGAAAGGTGAAAACAAGGCCCAAAACACATGCACATAAATATACCAACATAATCAGTTGTACGTGATTCAGCAGTACACAATGCACCCATTCTGTGAAATAGTAAACTACATACAGGCCTGTGGTTCTAGTGTCGTTCAAGACACATATTTTTATCTGTCACATATGTATTTACTATATTAATGTGCACCTCATGTGTTTAATCTTACGACAGGCGCTGAATTGTTTATCGGATCGCGGTCTTCAGGATGGACAGACGTCGTAGAACGCCAGAGAACGGCGAATAATAAAGAAACGTTGTTTATCCAAGACTTTCCAGATATCGGGATGCGATGGTGATACCGCGCAATACGATCTCACTAAGCATTATTTTGGTCACCCTCGCTGCTGCGCTCGATATTATTGACTGCTGATGGTTTCCATGGTGTGATGTGGGGAAATAGTTTGTTTTTATTGACGTTCAATTGTGGTGCACGTTTGTGTCGCACGTGTATTACGCAAATATATGTGAGAAAGCATGGCTCTTATGTGTCAATAAACAGTCTTAATACAACTATTTATTATACATCTGTCGCCGTAACGCCATAAACTACAGCGTGCCGTAATTTTTCGGTATTTTACGGGGTATTTTCATCCTACCATATAAGGAAATGCGAATTCCAAATATGGAATGATTACGCGCGTGTCCTCTAATAATAACCATGGCTGCCAGCAGAGTTTGACCGGACTCCACACAAAGAAGTCTCTGATTATGTTCTAAACTGTTTGAATTTCGGCATTCCCATGATGTATCCTTGGAAGGAAAAGATGTATAATAATAAGGTTATTACGAGAATACTTCAAAGTATGCACTCAGACAGTACGCCGCGCATCGACCTCCGCTGCGCGTCGGTCGATACTCTAGTTGTACTGTCTTTGTGCATACTTTGAAGTATTCTCGTATAGTCTTAGAGTAAAGACCCACACAGAATAGCTTCTGACCTACAGCTGTTTTTCGCAAAGGAGCGTGGTAAATAAAACAATCGAAATATTTGAGTCGCTTCATTTTCGCTCGTCTCCATCGGCAACAATAACAATAACGAGTCGCTTTGTTTCGATTTTATAAACACGCCCATAAACTAAAGCAGGCTGGCAAATCGCATAGATTCATCACATAGTCAAAATCAATTACTGTATGCGGACGTAACTGTTAATTGAAGTTCGAATTACAAAATCTGGACGTTAAACAACAACAAACTGCCATTTATTTGTCGGTAACTAAAATTTCGATTAACAGTTACGGTCCGCATATTGTTAATTAAAATTTGAGTTATTAACTTGAATTTTAGCGAACAATTAATTTTGAACATCCAATTTGAGTGTTTGTTTTTTTTGCAAAAGTCGGAGTAGGTCCTAAAACATTTAACTTGATGTTTGTAACTCGATGCATCTCGAGTGTCTTGATCGGTCTGCGCTGTAGGTTACCTTATCAATATTATCTATTATATTATATATGTGTATGTATTGAATGACATGATAGTTGTATTATATTGTTTATAATAATAAAACAATACATTGTTGCACTGACTGTATTGTCTATATTTATTACTGGAACACTAGTTGTTGCATTTAATTGTTTATTCAAAAAATATTGTTAAAGTCAAGCAGAAGTTATGGTATTCTCTTATTATTACTTATGTCTCCAGTCTTTACTAATGAGTGTGAAAAAGTACAGTGACTTAATTACAATTCTGTCCAACGATTAGTTAATCCACCGTTCTAATCTATTTATATGCAGATTATACAATACGAAAACTCTTGGACATGTTTGGGACGTAGAGCATTTTCATGTGTATTTTGAAACGAATATCAAGTAACAACTGATCAGTTCGATTGTGACTCGGCATTAATCGAGTACATGTCATTGCCGGATCGATTTTACAAAGATTTTCAGTTTGATTTCTTCCCAGGGGGGGTCACTCTATATGCCGTAACTACCCCATGTGCGTTCCAAATTTAGTGAGAAAGGGCGGTGTTTTTTACCTTCTAAAGCGGAGGTAAATAGGCCCCCTTTAAAATGGTAATGTCTGCAATAGGCCCCAAGGTATAAACACACAGGGTTGCTGCGCCCGCTGTAGGCCCCCTCTTGCAACAACCACTTCAATACACCTCCGTAGGCCCCAAATTGGTGGACCCATAAAACAACGAATGACACCAACAGGAGTTTCATACACAGTAACCATAATAGCTTGTTTGAGTTGATCACACTCCACTTGAATGCAAACAACCCGGTAGAGAATGCTTGCAATAGGGGATAGGATGTTCTCAGTATATGTCTGCAATAGGGGGTGTTTTTTTTCTTTAATATGTCTGCTCTAGGGGGTACTAAATTTACATTGCGTCCGCAATAGGGGGTATGGTTTGCCAATGTGCTGCCAGTCCTAGGGCCTATTTTTTTTGCAAGAATGCACATGGTGTAAGGTTTTAATATTGGGTGACCCCTGGGGATTTCGTGCTCAATTTCTGACGAAAACAAACAGATTTAGCTTTTGAAGAAACACATGACTTCGGTTTTTGACTTTGTTGTTACTTGTATTGTACTGCGCATGACTATGAGATATATAAATTATTAAAAGGACATGTGACTAATTTGCATATTTAGTTCATGGCTCTTAATAATTTTGTTTGTACAAGAAACTGATTCTGAAGGTTTTACTATTCAAATATACGTCACCATAACATCATGTTACAATGCATGAAGTGGCAAGATGCACTATAGCAATTCAAGTCGTGAATCAAATGCCGACTTTAATAGGAAGCATTTTAACTCATCTCTATATTTTCGTAGTCAATTCCAATATTATTGAGCAAGCTTGTAACTATGCTTACCACAGTGCATACGGTTTTACATAGTTTTATTGTTTATAGTGTAAATCAATTACGTGATTTCCAAATATAGTGTATACTACAGAGGGCGCTTTCACAGTTATACTGATATTTGGATTCATAACGATTACAATGGTGGATAATACAACTCTACTTTAGTGACGAAGTGTTACACAACGTCACAGCATAGATATTGTCTGTTGTCTAAATATCAATTCACAGACACTTTGAACGACATCGCTTTTATTCATTTCATATTTATGCGGTCGTCATTTTAATGTCACAACAGCATTTTGACGCCAGAGGGCGCTACTCACATTAAATGTATGTTGTATTTCCTACGTTATTTACAAGTCGCATTCATATAATTTGGTCTCAAACGAAATAATTACTAATATTTGTAATGTCTTTCCCTATCAATGAATAGTCGACACAGTGCTTTTGGTCATGCTATTCAGCCATGTTGGATTGTATATTTTTAGTACAACGCACAATGCAATGCGCGTCCCAATGACGCCATACATAGCAAAGGCATTACAAGCGCCAAACGGCAACAATCCTAAAAGTCTCGTTTAACGTCTGGATGTTACCAATATTATGTTTTAAAATATCACAATGCTGAATTTGTTTTTCATTATTGATTATCAGTGTCGTATTTATCTCTCTTTATTATAGGTAGGGCACAGGTCAAAGAGATAAAATTAACAAATAGATCGAATATAAAAAAAACCTTGAAAAAGGGAGACATAGAAATATTTTTTTATCACCGAGGCAAATGAATATATTCAGAAATACAATTAATTAATTAAAACATATGGCTCTGGGAAAGCATTAAGTAAGACAAAATGTACCAAGTGTGAACAAAATCCATCTGTAAACAGCCGAGATCCGGTTCCGGAATGCCACAACTGCTTGATTTCGATGATTTTTCAGCACAAAAATGGCCGCCATTCGGCCATCTTCAATCAGAGCGTGAAACAAATTGATCTGTATATGTAGAATATTATGTAAGAATGAATGTAATTGGTCCAGCCAAGTCTAAGATATAGGTTCGGGCGTAGGCGCAGAGGTCAATCCATAAGTCCCCGTTTTCGGATGGCGCCTGGAGGGGGACTAAAACCGAAAACTGTAACCAATTTTAATATTGTATCAACCAGCATAGCGATTTGTTTTCGACATTTCCTGTGAGAAATGGATTTTTTGGACAATATGCCCACATCTTTCTTTTATTCTTGGTTAACACTCTCAATTTTAGCTGCCGTGAAACTATTATACCAGTAAATAAACAAGTTTTCTAAATAAGTTGACATCTTAGTTAAATTTGCATATCCGATTTGACCACGGTACAAACAAAACTGATTATGTAAATTGTCAAGAAAACAGCTATGATGTGCATATACCTGTGACTCATATCTTATACATTTAAACATATATTGTCATAATGCACTTCACACATCTTCTACATGTGTCGTTATATTCGCATTCCTATATCAGAAAAGTCCTGGATAAACATAGTTTCTTTGTTAGTGGCATTTCGCTGCAACGACACAATGGAGCTCCACCCTGAAGACCGGGATCCGATGAATAGCTTAGCACCTTAATGGAAATAAAACAAAGAGCGAAACAAAAATTCTTAAAACCTCATTGATTTAGCTGCCAGAGATTGCAAGAGTCGAGGAGATAAGTTCAATCACTTATCAATTATGGAATATACTCTTTAACATATATATTCAACGGATCACTGAATATCGAGAACTGTGCATGCATTATTATTATTTGTTCATACTCACGATAGCATATTTCTTGTTCTATTAACGATATGACGTAGTTGTCGTTTTCAAAGGCCGAGATTTCAGGCCAAGATTTCATTAGCACATTTGTCCACGTGACAATGTTGGTGAGCCTAGCTCTTGCCAGGTATTTCATAATATCCTATAAAACAACTATCTATTTTCCCACACAATATGCATGAGTATGTGTGTGTGATACAGTGATAAGGGATTCACAATTAAACATCTACTGCAAAGTATTTTATAAAATATTACTTCAATGCACCATTTTTACAACAGTTTGTACAATTATTTCCCTCAGTCGAGCAGATGTTGAGTCGATTATGCAAATATAGTCTTAATTCAGTAAAGCGAAGTAGATATGTACTGCATATGAGTATGTTTTCTTAGTATACTATACTTTGTTATTTTGTCGTATTCATTATTCAAAATACATACAAAATATCAATTTTATCTCACCTTGGCATAAGCAGGGAAAGCGACGTATACTGACTTTATTCTTCTTTTTTTTACGAGAGTCTTCAGATGTTTCGAAAATCGCTTACCAGCGTAATTGATTTGCTTGATGTTATTGTCGATACAATATTTATTATATTGCTCACTCGACTGAGTCCGCTGGACACACCTACAATTAAAGCGTACATCATTACGGATATATTGTACAGTAAATTGCGTCCAAAACAATAAATATGACAAGAGTTAATTTGAAATGCTTGAATTATAATAATTTCCTTCAAGCAATACATGGAAGAGAATCAACACATCAAATAAAAACATTAATATTATGATATTCACACAGTATTAGGTGATAGTACATTGTTAATATAGACAGTATCTCATAGTTCCGCTGTGCAGTCCCGGGGGAATTGACACTTTTTAATTAAAGTACTTACGCCTCACCGCTTGTGTTCCTCCAATGAACTGCAATAAAGCTCCCCTCATCAGGAGCACAAAGCAGTCTTATAATTTTTCTAGCAATTTCCTGAATATAAGTAGCTCGTGCTAGATATTTGTATATGTAAGACTGGTTGTATAATACGTTTCTCATGGAATCGTCTATACCTTCTATGTAGTTAGGTTCGAAAATACCTAAACATCTTTTCTCGGATGACATTGTTAAAGACCTTTGAACTTCGTGAGAACTCCTGGGAATACAGTCCACATCCGGAAGAATAGTTTTAAGACGGCTGGCGAATACTCGTCTGTGATGGGCATAGTTTTCTTTGAACTCTTTCATTGTACGATACCCAGTTACTGTTTTCGCGAAAGGATCCATTAGAATAGTCTCGACCGTGCTATTACACGCGTTGTTGTACTCCGTTATGTTGACGATGTCAACCAACTCTCGTAGTTTATCAACGTCAAATGTTTCAGTAAACGATTTAAATCCTTTCATATCTTCTGTTTGCGTTTGTCCATGTGTGCGGAAAGGTATTTCCACTATCTCTCGCCCTTCTGAGAGGGCGTATTTGACAGCACGCATAAAACTTTCGAAATGAAAATTGGGTCCCGCAGAAAACATATGTACTGGAAGTAGATAGCGTCGATGTGATCTGAGCTTATATTCTTTAATTACTTTATTAAACCGGGTTGAATTGTGTACCTACAAATTAAAAAATTATATCATTTTACAATCATACAAATCACATGATATCACATAGTACCAATCAATAAGTAGTTATAAAATAAAGACAAGTGACCCCCAAGTGCATATTTAAACCCGATCACATGAGATCATTTTGAATTTACTTTCTATTCACTGTGACCACAGTCATGAGAATTCTGTGCTTTCCCAGAACCATGTACTTGATAAGAATACGATTACTAAGAAAAATATATCATGACTATTTTGCAAGCGTTGTGACAAATGTCACGTCGTTATGAGGACTTACGATAAACACGACTACTGTATTTGTTGTGGACGTCATCGTTCTATTGATATCATTGACCATAGAGTTTCAAGCACCAGTAACATGGGCCGCGGACCAACCAGAATTTGTGTGGAACCAACACTATATCTAATTTAGACACTTATTCTTAGGTCAGTAAAGCCCCTCCAAGCATTCTTGTCGTGAATCTTTTTATTTACGATTTTTGTGTGTCTGAACACCAGGACACAGTTTTCGAATTTTTCCAAATTCTAAAAAGTGTTAAGTGTAATAATGCAGGTTAAAGATTTTGCCAAACATATGTTCTAAAACACAACGATAGGACTGACTGGACCTTTATGTGGTATGGTTATTCTGTGATTCAGATTGCTGAAATACAAAATCGTATCGGGTCAGGTGTTGATGCAGCGAAGGCCTTTATTGATATAGCGGTGATGAAATATTATAGTCTTGAATATCTGTCTTGTTTAGTAATGTATCATGCTGTAGTCGGTGGGAAGTGGGATGAACTCCTTCTAACCAACTGAGTCTGGGAGTACTCTCTAGAAACCAACTTGATACGCCATATTACCCTATACTCATTGTCCAATTTCATACGAACAAAGTAATCTGATCCAATGATTGCAGAGTGTGTGGTGTCTGATTTAGCCATTAAAAATGGTTCTGATATATTACTATCGATGGGGGATTGTATTTAATTCATGTGGCCGCTATCATAGAAATTGAATGTGCAGGTTTTCATTTTCAGGGTAATTTTTAGCAAGTTTCAGGGAACTCTTGTTGGCAAATTAGTCTTTCTCTGAAAGCGCAAAAACTATTCGCGACTTCTACAATCAGAACAAAAAATCTGAAATTTAGTAAAAAGCCATCGTCAGTATCACATGTTTGGTCTGTCATGTTTTAGCATGAAATCTGTGCACCAAAGTTAACAAGGAATCTGCTTATTTATTTGCTATACAAACCTGCAGTACTCCCTAAACTGACAGTAAAAGTGATACAATTAGAGCATCAGGGGGTGTTTAATACAAGGAAAGAAGAAAGTGCATAAGCAGTGAGAGCTAATATTTCACACCCTCAAGTCCTATTCGGTAGTGTGGCTATAAGCATTGAATATGGCGTACACCACACCGAAGACCGTCTATCTGCAGGTCAACGCCCAATATAAAAAAAGTGAAAGCCTTTTTTGACGTAGTGCTTCTAGCAAGAGACAAACTGTCCTGTATATTTAGATAGATTTTGGTTCTACCTCTATGTTTCGCTTTGACTCACTTTTCTTTGTAGTCCTTGTTTTGCATATGAATAAGTAGTTACACCAAGAGGGAATCTTGAAACTAACGTTTCACAATATTAAAATATTGATTAATTTGTAATATGCGACATCTTGCAACTATATACCTAATAACAAGTTGTCACATAACAAAAATTCTCCAGTCTCGAAATTAACACTTAAAATGTCTGACTGGGAAATGTGGTTTCATCTTATTGAAATATTGATTGAAGTATGTGACATTATCAATAAGTTTGAAAACAAATATTTAAAAAAAGTTTTATGAGATCTTGTATCTCGTCTCTCACAGGCTGCAATATCTACCAAGGTACTAGTTTAATATGCAAATTAAAATTATAATATTTTTTTATATATTTGCTAAGACATATTTTTTTATACATTATTTAAAGTAATTATAACAATAAATAATACAGAAGTAGTGTACGTTTGGATACACCGGTACTGCAGTTGCAAAGTAGAAATCATTGAAATGGATTTCATGTGATACAAACCATTATAATTAAAATCTTAAAATACACATTTGTTATGTCTGTGGCTATTTGAAATCACAGAAAATTAGTTTAGCATTACATCATCGATGTACCTGTGGTCGATTTTTCACTCGTAAAATTTTAACCGACAGTCCACGTCTGTTACCTTGATTGCACACCATGTGTTGGTTGCCTCGACAAACGAACATGATTGCGGGCCTGCCAAACACCAGTAGCGGATATAAAGCGAAACATAGCTAACTCAACGCTGTAAACTAACTAAAAATATACAGATGATTAAATCTCCCGTAGTTTATTTAACACCAATGTCTTATACATACAACATTTCACAACATATTGCTTTAGTTAGACATGTTTTGCAAAAAAATAACACAAATAAAGAGAGAGTATAATCCGGAAACAGTCTGAACAGCTTGACAGTATTAGTAACAATTCGAACAATAGGACTACATATAATCCCAACGTAAATAGTTGGCAGCTGAACAGCCTGGGCGGATTGTGAGGCATTGAATCAAACCATTATATGTATAGAACCATGATTCTACTATTCTTCTAATCGAACCAAACGTATTTATTACACTCCACCATCAATGTTACCCAGGGTAATCATGTCAGATGTTCAGTGAAAATTTTCATTGTATATA